AACTGTATTTTTCTTTTAACATCATTCCTGAACAGTTTCCACCAGGAGAATTGACAAGCAGATGGTTTTTCCTCATTTAAGCAGTAAGCCCTGCTACAATGGGGTTGGATGGGGAGGAACACGCAGGTTGAAGCAGCACAAGGGCACGGGTTACCCACACAGTGGATGGGGGGTGGGGGGGGAAGGGGTGCAAAGCAATCTTCTCCACAGCAAAAAGTGTGAGCAGACGTGCATCACTAACCCAGAACCATTTCTTCTTTCCACGGTAGACAACCTGCTTTTCACAGCCTTTGCTTTGAAGCTCAGAATAAGAACGTCACGTGTCAGAGGACTTCAGCGGGTACTGAGAAAGCAAAGACTCTTTCCAAGCTAACAGGCTCCTCACCACTTCCCCTTGTTTTCTGCATCCATCTGTGCGCACAATTGGACAAATTTCTATTTTGAACCACATTGTTGCCATGCTGCAACATTACTCCATGGCAGGAGCAATTCTGCTCATCAAGGAGAAGCCACCTGTGGCTCCAGGAGGCTGACATCTGTCTTACTGCCTACAGAAAGCCCACACAGGGAATATTAACTCTGCCTGCAAACCGTCAGCAGCTCTTGCTCAGACACTTCTTGAGGCAAAGCCAACCCACGTGGGCATCTCCCTGGGGTCCTGTCCTCACCACCCTGCATCACCATGCCCTGTCCTCGTGGCTGCACCCAGCTGCTCCAGGGCTGTAAGAGAAAGGCATCACGGCAACACTGAAAAACCTCTCTGAGGAACAGCAGAGAGGCAGACTTTCAGAAAACACTCAGAGAAACAAACGAATCATCTAAATTAGAAGATGAGCTTCAAAAGCTGTTGCTTAGGCAGATCTGTGATCTAATCCCATGAGTCACGGCAGCTGTGCCTGGAAAGCAGCACAGACCCTGCCTTGGTTTCTAGCAAAGCAGAGCTTCCTTTCACCACCTGCCCTGTTAGCTTCCCCATGGCTTCACAAAGCACTGGGACACTCCTGCCACCACTCCCAGCCTTTCAGCCTGGTGCCAGCTTTACCAGGGCTGAATCACTCCCTGTATCCAGGTTTCCATCTGCACCATTAGAAAGAAGCAGCACTGCAAAACTGTGAAGACCTCTGTGACACGGGAAAGTTTGAAGGTGAAGAGGATATGCTCATAGGGAGCCAGCATTTCTGGGAATGAAGCAGAGTGCAAGATAAGCCTTCAAGAAAAGGTTAAAGTTAACATCCTGATTGAGATACAGCTCACAGGAATCAGCTCAAAGAAACAGGCAGGAGGATGAGTGTGAACAGAGTCCTAGGGAAGACTGGGATGTAAAGGATGCAAGTCTTTCATCTTCTGCCTCTCCCATGAGCTAACCTGGGCACTGGTCTCCTTGGCTGGGTGAGCATCTCCAGAGCTGAGAGAATCCCTCTCACAATTAAAAAAATACCCCTCAGGAGGCAGGCCAGCATGGTGCCACACCATTTCCATAGGCTTCACTCTTCAGCCTTTTACACTCGCTTACAGTTTGACAATTCTGAGCTGTTACAGCCCTGGTCTTTGGGATAACCAGTCCCATTTACTGTTCTGGGAGAGCTATAGAAAACGTATGGCTTCAGCAGAATTAAATCACCACCTCCTGTGGAACATCAGGTGTGGAAAACACCAACACAGAACCTTCAACAGATCCCCCAGCACGAGTCTCAATGAGAGACCATCACAAGTTTTAACCATAGGCTGCTTTGGGCTGTGTAACACACAGGACTGCCTTCCCAAAGCATTTGTTCACAGCGTTGTAAGAAAGCAGCAAATCTTGGGTGGCATTCACGATCAGAAACCAGATAAGGGATGCTGCACAGAAGGGAAGAGGAACGCAGGGAGAGAAAGGAACAAAGAGAACTGCTTCAGCACCTAGCAGTGTTATCTGTGATGTCAGTAATTAGCATGGAGTTATGATGATCACAGTGAGCAGATCACACGGTGGGATTGCTCCACAAAAGCACTCATTCGCAGTTAAATTTTACACCAAATTGCAGCATGAAAAAGAACAACTCTCCATAGAGGCCAAGGCAGAATTGCCAGAGAATATGGAGGTATTCAACAAGCCCTGTGGAAACAGAGGAAGAGACTCAGTATAGTAAATCCTGCAGAAAAGCATGCATTCATCAGGAAAAATATATACGTATTAAGGAAAAACCTGCTTTATTCTATTTTCCCCTGGCACACAAGGACAGGCACTAAGGCTTGGCTAAAGCCTTTTTTTTAATCTTCTTCTTTTTTTGCACCATCTCAGTGCCTCTGCTGCGTTTCCCCTCGTCTAGACATCTGCACTCTGCATGCAGAACGAGCACTGCTGACGACAGAGGGGAGATCTTACTTGCATTTCCCAGCCCCATTTGCAGGCATTTTGCAGACATAACTGATGACGCACTCTGCAAGCCCAGGAGGAGGCTTGGGGCTCGTTACACTTTTTGCTGCATAGACACGTTCTGCAATCACTCCAACAACCTCAGCAAGTATGCAGGCAAAGAAAGGCAGCGAGAGGTCCTGAGCACCACAGGGACACAGCTGGGGAACGCACCAGCTCTGTAACTTGGACTGGGGATTGCACAAACACGACCCTGAGGATCTCTTGCAAGTTGCACTGCAAAAACGGAGACTGCTAAAAAGAATCTCCAGGATCCCAGGCTCCAAGACCCCGAGCTAAGACCAGATATCAAATCATCTCCCCCATTTCTCCTGCTCCGAGCAGTCAGAACGAATGGGCTCAATCCAGCAGCCTGAAGGTGTCCTCCCTGCTCACTGCCTTTAGGAGCAATGTGAGCTGCCATTTAGTCAATGGGAAAATAACTCGGTTTAGCTTCTTCCCCTGTCATTAGCAGGCATCACATTAAGAACACTGCAAATCGCTGAAGAGAGGAAGAAGCACTTGTGCTAATCAGATTTCATTAGCTGGCAGCACCATGCATCAAAGCAGGCTAGAGACAGCAGAGAGGGAACTGCAGTCCTAATGGGAAACCTCAACACAAGCACCTTCTGGATGCAGCATTTCCTTGCTAAACAAACACCAGGGTCCTCTCCACAGCACAACCAGCGATGCACACATCGGTGAGCACAGCATCCCCATCCTGGAGACTCTCCCCAACCCCAGGGGTCCCTGGGATGCTCTCACCTGATGCTCTCCTGACAACACATATCTCCTTAATGCAGCAGCAAAAGCCGTGAGATTTCAGAGCTGGGACCAGAAGCAAAAACAAGCCAGAACTAGAAATAAGGCAGAGGTTCTAAATGCAAGGGTAATTTCCCAACCTGACAAGGACATTCAGGGTGTTTACTATCTATCACACATCACTCAGCCTTGAAATCAAGATGCAACATATGCAAGAGCTCAACCAGAAACACAGGCTCAGGGCGATGACTCGTGGAAGCTGGATTCATTAAGCCTGAGTTCCATGGTTGTGTCACATCAACTGAGTTCAGCAGAGCACAGAACCCCATGAAATTAAACCAGCTCAAGGTTTTCCAAATAGAAATGCTTTCATCTGGCACAATTTAACACACGCTGCCCTTCTGTGCAGATCAACCCACGCTGGCACAAAGCCCCACACACCCTCCCTTGCTGAGCAGGGAGACGTGCCCAGGTGCATCACGTCTCTGAATAACAGCAGGCACAAAATATGGCACTTGCTTTGCAATAGAAAAGTGAGCACGAATAACAGAAGCACAAGACAAGCAGCAGTGCAGGTGCACATGGTGACAGCACACCTGGGTTTTGCTGACAGAGCTCCAGCCCAGCGCTATTCAGAATTATCATCAGCTAGATCTGAACTTGAAGGCAAAATTTAAGTAAGTTTCAGCCCCTTATCACCCAAAAGGAAACACTGACATGCTATCCAACCCCAAACCACCCTTTAGTCCTACCCCATTTCTGTTCCAGACTGGGCTCAGGCCTCTGTGGGACGGCACAGATCAGCATCACTCCTACAGCAACTGCACCAGAGCTCCTAATTTTCAGGAATACCAGGAATTTAAACCAATATATCACCTGTTATCTAGAGGTGTTACATGTTGTTAATCCCATAGCACAAATCAACGAGAAGATGCACTACAGCTGTGCATACCCAGCCCACCAATCCCTCACAACTCAGCTGGCTGCATTAATGTGGGCATTAAACAGATTGAGTAAAATAGCATGAAAATACAAGTTCCTCAAACTCTCATCAGCTTTTTCCAGCTTTCAGCCTACCAAGAGAAGCTGTTCACTGCCACTGCAGTTATTGGTATTAAATTACCTCCATAGTGAGACCCACCTGCATCCAGGCTGCGGTGCCATACAGACACACACTAAGATGCCCAAGATGCATTATCCTCACCCACACACTGGGAAAAAACTGGGAAGGATACAAGGCTCAGCCAGGAGATCTTCCTCTTTTCAGCCAGCCCATGGTGGTGAGTTGGGTCTGAACCCAGCCAAAGCATTCTACTGTGGCTTTCAAGCAGCTCCCAAATTCATCACATCTCGGTCACTTGGGGACACTGGAATCACCCAGTTCAGCTCAATAATATAATATGCTTTGTTTCCTTTATTCAGGGATCCAGTACATATTACACATTAACCTGAGCCCTTCACCAGCACAATTAATTCAGCAAACTGGGCCATTCGTTGGGCCATTGTTGCTGAGAGATGTGCAATACGAGCCACTAAAATATATAAACAACAACATACGGGATTGCAGAGTGGATTGACAGAAAGTAATTAAGTGAGCTGGAAACCAGCCACGACATTAAAATGAAATAGTTTGTTTGGATTTCTTTTTTCCAAATAGCCAGAAGTGGTCTAGGCTTCCCGTTGCTGCCCAGTTCTGTGGACCAGCTGGGACAAGCAGCAAACCCACTGGACCAATGCACCAGATCCATGCCTTGGCATACATGGGGTGAGAATCAACATGCTCTTTCCAAGGACCCAAATGTTTGTATGTACAGCAACCAGTGCAGCTGGGTGCAGACCTCACCTGTGGTTTCTAGAAGAGCAGAACTGCAGCTGCTGAGTCAGGGAGCTAGCTTCTCCCTGCCTGCAGTTCTTTTGCAGACTCTAAACCTGCAGTTCACTTGCACAGCTCTAGCATCTGCAAGCCCCCCACTGCAGGAGCTGCACCTGGCCCAGCTCCTCCTGAGCTGACCTTCAGCCTTGGCTGGTGCAACCCAGGAGCTCCTGGAGCATCTCCATGGGCAGGACTCAGCACCTCAGAAAGATCTTTCAGGATCAGAGCTCCAACAGCTTCCCTACAAAATAAATAAATAAATGGATAGATAGATAGATATTACAAGAGTCAAAGCTATAGCCAGAACAAGAGACCCACAGTGCCCGTGCCCCCCCCCCCCCCCAACCAGCTCCTCTGCCCCACTCTGGCTTTTATTAAGGGGCAGTTGCTGCCTGATTGAGCTCCTGCAGCTCCTGTTTCACTACAGCTGCACCTTCCCTGGGGTGAATCAGTCCTTAGGGACGTTTCCCTGCAAGCATCCCACCGCAAGCTCCACAGGCTTTCCCTGCCCCACAGTGATGCTGGACCACATCTCTTCCTGCATGTTTCTGCATTCCCATTGCCCTGCATGGCCTTCCAGTCCCAGAGCCACATCCTGACCTGGACCATAGCTCCCACCCCTCCCTCGCACTAATTACATGAGATTGCCCTGAGGTGGGGTGAAATAAACAACCTGAGGTACAGCACAAGAGGCCAAAATGCCCAGAAATTGCTGTTTATATGGGAAATAAACAGCTGCAAAGAGCAGCGAGGTCACAGTGAAGTGTGGAGTGGGAAAAGCGAGCCTCTTCTTGACTTCTTCTGCCTCTAGAGAGCATTGTTGCATTTTCTTCCCAGCAAGAAACAAGAACAGAGGCATCTCCCCGCTCTGTGAGTAGTGGCACTTGAAATGCTGCAGTGGCACATAATAGTCTCGCATTAAAACCCCCATACATCCCTTTTGCAAGCTCTGAGCACTAACAAAGCCTCGCAGAGAAGGTCACCATGCTTTGGGATCCAGCTTGCATCTCTTTCAACACACATCAGGGGCTCACAGCAAAACATTTCTTGAGAAAGGGCAACTGTTCCTCCCTGAGAAGAGCAGAAGGGCTCTGCAGAGCATCGCAGCGTGGGCAGAGGGAGGAGGAGGAGGAAGCAGGACCTCATGTGTGTGACCCTATGCTCTGCTCTGCTCATCTGGGGGATGCAGCCCTTGCTTAGGCGCCAGGAGAGAGGACAAATCCCTGATGGGACTGCAGTGAGCCTCACCTGCTGCCTCTGTGTGCAGGATCCATCCCATCGCAGCATCCCTGCGTGACATCTCCACCTTCTCTTCCTCCTGCTCCATCTGCCCCATCCTGTCCTCACCTCCCCACCCCCCCACCCTCCCACTGCCCGCTCCCTCAGTCTAACTCATTATCCACGATCAATTAAAATATATTTTTAAAAGAGCATCACTACTGCTATGAAGAGAAAGGTTATTACTGGTCCAATTTGCCACGGACAGAATAATTACTGTCTCCCACGCAGTGAGTCAGGCTGCAGCCAGGGCTCAGCCGCCGGGGACGAGCGGTGTCTGGTGGCAGCCAGAGGGTAACGTGCACGGGCTGATGGGCTGATAAGGGGCAGCAGACATCGGTGAGAACATGTTGTAATGAGCTGCCTTCGCTGAAGCACTCCGTGCTTTCAAAGCCGGCATGTCTGCCATCATTCTCTTCTTCTGGAGTGCAGGAGGGAAACTGGAGGGACAAGGACAAGGAAGGCATGCAAAGGGCAAAGCAAAAATACCATTTTGCATGAGCTCAGCTGCTGTGAAATCCTTTAGAGAACTCCCAGCTGCACAACCAGCGCGTCTCAGGGGAGGACAGGAGCAGGCTTTTGGCTTCTCCAGGTCACGGCCACCTGGGCAGAGCAGAGGGAAGCTTTGAGCAAGGCCAGCACTCGGCAGCCACCTGCAGAGCCAGAAGTTGTTCTAAACAGCACCAGCCGGTTTGATACGGCACTTTGTTTGCAAAGGAAAGAAGAAATGCTGTTGCAAGGAGGCAAGGTGGCAGCTGAGCCCCTAGGATTCCTGTGAAAACCAATACCTTCCTTACAGTGAGAACCAATTCACCAAAACTTTGGAAACATAGGAAATCTCAGCTCGGAGAGCTGCTGCCCAGCACAGTGCTCTGAAGCATCACTTTCCCTTGTGTATCCCCACTCCCACACCTGGCACTCAGCTGAGCTGATCTCTTCATCAGTCCTTAACCCCTGTGCAAACCCTTGTTGCAGGCAGGAAAGCCACAGCCCTGTGATACAATCAGTGCACTTCTCTTTTGGGGTGGGTAAAGGGTTTGCTTCAGGGGCTCTGGGCATGGGAGAAATGGGCCACCTCAAGAGTATGGCCACTGGGTTTTGTGCTTCTCTTCTGGAGTTTTGCACATGGCTCTGCTCCCTCTGCCCTCCTGGCTCAGTGGGCATGGTGGGGATTGATTGGGGTTGAACTCTATGACCTTAGACATCTTTTCCAACCTTAATAGTTCTGTGATTTTATGATCCTATAACCTTATAAGCCAACAAGAAAGGGGATCCCAAGAACCTCACGCTGTGGGGGAAATGACAGCAGCAGAGCGTGGCAGGGGGACAAGGCACTGCACAGTGGTGGCACCCATCTGTCACTGGCTCATCTCATCACAGCTCCATCCCTGAGGGCAGCAGGTTTGCTTCCAGCTTGGGCATTCCTGGAAATCGCCTCCAGTGTCAGAACATGGGCAGGAAGGAGGCTGATCCAGAGGCTGTTTTTGTGACTTTTGTTCTGTTATTTTTTATGGTGGCTGTTCTCCAAGTATTAAACAATTGGCCAACTGCAGGATCCTGCTATGAAGTCAGGAGTTATATTTAAATTCCGGCTTTCCCAGTGAGGCTGAGATTTAGCAGAGGAGTGGGGAGGTTTGCACACCTCTCTCCCAGAAGGGTTTATAATGGAGCACAGCATTCTCCAGCGCGTGGACACAAATGCTCAGCCTGGGCTTTGCAACAGAGCTTTTCTGACGCTTTATGAATGATTGCCATGAACAGAGAAAGCCAGAAAATCCACCTGGACTGCAAATTCACACCAGAATAGGGTTGTGTTTAGTCAGAGAATAGCAGACATTTCCCTCTGCTAAACTGCCCACCAGTAGGCATTGAAAGCTGCACAGCCCCTGAAAGCAGAACATGAGTAGCAGGGCGAAGCCTTTGTCCTGAGGCCGCCTTTGATGCTGGCCATGGAAGGGGAAATTTTCTTCAGTACCAAGCAGGTTTTGGCGAGCTCTTGGTTTTCACACCCACTCAAGCAAAAGTGTATTTTCTAGCAAAGGAAAGTATGTCAGGCCATTGATTTCTTGGGTAACTGCACTGCAGAGCAGACAGAGCTAAATTCAGTGATGCATTAGGCTGCTGGCTGCAAACCAACTACCTAGTAAAAATTGCTTTAAAAACAAAAGCATACCTCGTTGTTGCTGTTGTTTTGTGGTGCATTTGGAGAATAACCTGCCTGCTTTTAGACTTCTGTCCTTGGCTGTCCAATGCCAAACAGGGGGAAAAGCGCTGCACAGGCTGTGAAACAAGAGAACATAGAGAACTGTAGAGTCATTAAGGTTCGAAAAGACCACTGAGCTCATCAAGCCCAACCGTCAGCCCATCAATCATCAGCCTATTCCACCATGCCCACTGCTCTAGCTCTGTGAAGCAGTGGAAGATCAATAGAGATCTGACGGAGCAAAGAGCCTGGCTGCATTCCCAGCAGGAGCAGCGAGCGTACAGCTGAGCTCCCCCAAATTTTCCCCCTATAGCTCAAAGGGCCTTGGAATTTCAGGCACTTTGATTGCAAGTGAGGCGAGTTCTTCCTTCTGGCCTCTGTTCCCTTCTGACAGGTTTTGCCAGATGGAGAGACGCGATTACGGGAGCAACGATTGGCACTGCTCCTCCATCCATCCCACTTTGGTTTGCAAATGCTGAATAACGAGAAGCACTTGGCTGGCAAGACCTTGCCACCGCAGGCTCCATTTGCAAACAGCAGCACCTAAAGTGCAACCATCCATCAAAGCGACGCAGGGGCAGCCCGTCCGCTTGGCTCCCTACACTGCACTGAGTGCAGCTCCAGAAATGCAGAGGCTGAAGTTAACCATGACCCTCCTCCCCATGCCCACCTCTTCCCAACCCACCCCCCAGGGGAGCTCAGTGGGGACAGAAGGGATCGCTCCCTGCCACCCCCAGGCAGCGCTGCCACAGGGATTTGAAGACAGCCATAATTTCTTGAGAGAACATTTCCAGGCGTGCCCGGATAAATTATTCACAAGGAATAAGAGATGAACCCATCTGGAAAAGAATAAAAAAAAATAAAACAACTAGAAAAGGCCACTGGAATCTGGCCAGCAGCTTTCTGCTGTAAGGCTGTTGCCAGTTTGCAAAGTTTGTGTTTGCTCCGTGAAAGAAGATAGCAATTATTTATACTGGGTTAATGGAAAGGGGATCCACAGCGTGACATAAAGCGTGAGCAAACTGGGAAGCAGAGAATAATGCCATGCTCCTGGACAGGAGGAAGGACAGAACATGCCTCATCTTTGCTATAGCAAAGAAAAATCATCTCAGTACCATCCTGGTTGGTATTTACCCCATTTAACACTCAGAACGTTAAAGCTCTGTTGCAAATTTCAGAGAAGAAAACATATTTCAGCAGTGTTTGCTGGAAATATCATTAGGGTAACAGTCACCCCCGCAATGTTTTATTGCAGGCATTTACTTCCATGCTTCCATTTGCAGTGATTACTCCCAAAATTACTTCTAAACATCCAAACTGCAAAGGAAAGGAGTTAGTCTGGAGCTGCAGTTGATTGCTGTGTTTACTCTTGCATGAGCAATGGTAACAGATCTACTCTTTTTGAAGCATTTTGCTTAAAGAGATGCTGGAGCCCTCGGTGAATGTATCTCCACAACAGGAGGCTGAGCTGGCAGAGCTGTGTGCTCCCTGCACAGGGACCTGGTGCCACCTGAAAGCCAGGCACGTCTGTGAGCAAAGCACAGCATAGAACCTTTGCTGAAAACACATTTCTTTGGCTTGAATGTACGTAGAAAGGGTGGGAAATCTGTGGGGAAAAAAAAAAACAAACAACAAAAACCACCATGGACCAAAACCTACAATTTGCATAAGGTAGTTTGAAAGTGCATCTCAGCAATGTTAGGTAACAAACATCTGGGATTTCAGCTTCTTTAATCAACACTTAGAGCAGATTTAATAATGTATTAGGAGCAGACAGGCAAAAGGAGTTTGGGGAAACGACAGGAAAATAAAGCAGATAAATGCACTAATTGCAGCTTATCTGACAGCTCCACTTTCTCCTCTGCAGCTGAGACTCCAGATCTAATATTTATACATTAGGCAGGATTGATTCCCTGGGCTGAGACACGGCTCTGAGCAAGGTGGCAGCGGCTGATGGATGGGCACCATCTCACCAAATGCCAGCATGAGGCTTTTCCACGTACTGCAGACTGGAGGAGAAAGCAGCAGAGAGAGGCTGCGTACAGCAGGAGCGACCCGATGGACGTGTTGTCTCTGCACGTGTGGGCAGGGCTGCTTTGCAATGGCTTTGTTCATGTATTTGTGTGTTTAGGAGGGGGCAGATGGGCTCCCATCCTTCTGGGAAGCTCCTTACCCAAACCATCTGCATGTAGATAAGAGGCTCCAGACTGGAAAGCTGTACCTCGGTCAATTCCCACAAAGAGGGGAAAAAAAAGCAGCTGCAAACAGAGAAGGTGAATAATGATAGATGCAGCCCCTCAGAGCATCTCTGCATCTCAGGGTTATCCATGGTTCCATCAATTTGGCCAGAATTCTGGCCCCCCCCAGACCCAAACCCTAACCCAAACTCCCCTCCCTGCATTAGGGCAGCCCCCACACATTCTGCAGCCCCAGGACTTTCCTGCTCAAACTGCCCGTCAGAAGAGTCTTGTTAAAATGTTTGCTTCCATTTAGTGCTTGTGCCAAGGAACGGCCAAATCCAGGGTGGCCTCAACTGGTTGTGCAACTTGAAGAGGAGGCCTTCTGGGGCTTTATCCAAGGCGAATCTCAGGCAGATAGCATCTTCCCGGGCAGCAGCAAGCAGCCCCCTGTTGTTCTGCATAACCACAGCATCTGCAGCCCCTTTCATACAGCAATCAATCATTACAGGGCTCAGTGGCAGGAGCTGGCAGGGACCGAGTGTGTCAAAGTGCCTGAGCTCACACACTGCCACAGAGGGCAGGATTTAATGAGGGGAGAAGCACAAAGTGAAAAAAAAAACCACCCAACCCAGCAGCAGCCTAAGTGCTGACCCAGCACATTCAAAGCAAAGCTTTTGGGTTGTTTTGTTGTTGTTTTTTTGGGGGGAGGGGTGAGGAGGGAAAAAGTCATCCTGAAATCATTGCTCCTGAAGCGTGTCAGATTGACACCGGAAAGTTCATCACAGTGCTCCCAGCACTGATTGCTGATGAAAAGAAGATGGAAATGCATGAGATCACTCTGTTCCTGTGGGCTTTGTGCTGTGCCTGGCTGTACATTTCTCACCCTCTGGAGCCACCCCAGAGAGCAGACACCGTTAATCCTCACCATGGATCTCTATGCTGTGCTCCCTGCAGAGCAGAGCTATGATGCACCCACTCTGTTGCATGACAGCCAATATCCATGAGTTGCCTAAACCCAGGAGAAATCTAGAAATACGCCAGTGCCTCAGCCCGGCACGCTTTCCCCTGCGACATCATCTTGGAAGGAAATTCTCTCAAACCCAGGCACAGACCCAGCTCTCCTCCAGCCTTCATTTTCAGGAGCATTGATTTCACAGTGTGAGCAAAGTGATCTGAAAGGTCATCCCAGCCCACTCGCATCCACAGCAGCACAAAGGCAGGGATGCTCCTGATGTGGCTTCTCCAGGGGCCTGGCAACTCCACATGAAAGACTGCTGCTGGTTCTCCAGCCAAAGGATTCCAATACATCTCTTGAGCCTGCTCTCTTCGAGGCTGTGTGGATTCAGGGATAGGTACTAGGCACAGTGCTCTGCAGGACCGGCAAGCAGCCAGTGTGGCATCCACTCACCAGTGCACCTCAGGAACTTCCTAAAATCCCTATGGAAGTGTATTGTATTCCCATTCCCACACTATGCCCTGCGTCCTGGCAGAATTTGCTAGATAACTGCTGAAACTGCTTGCAGCCTGCTCTGGATGCTCCCCCCTGGTCCCACATGTGCCCGGGGCTCCCTGGCACATCTTCCAGCCCACACTCACGGTTTCCAGCAATGAAAGCTGAGGCCTTGCAGAGCTTCACAAGGGATGCCCATCCCTCTCGGATCCAAAACCGATCTCCCAGGCTGCCAACTTTGCCCTAGACCAATCTTCATTCCATCTGTCCCAAAGGCACGGAGGGGGAATGGCCACACAAGTGCTGAGCAGCCCCGAGGTTGCTGGAGCCAGAAGAAAACAGGGCAGAGCATTGCTGGCAGAGTTAATTTGAACCAAGCGGTGCCTGGTGGAGCAGGCAGGGGTGCTGCGGTGACAGCTGAAGCCACTATGGGCTGAGATGGCAGCAAGAGGAGAGCAAAAGGCTTGCTCCAAAAGTTTCGGTGCAATTGGTTCCAGTGCTTTGAGGCAAGGTTGCAGGGTGGCAAGAAAAGCCCAGGATTTGTGTGCAGAACGCTCAAACGGCACATGGGCAGTGCTAGCAGCAGTGAAACGTGGCTTCTTACCCGGGGTATTGCCTCTGCTGCTCTCATTTTGTACCTAATTAATGGAGATTTATTATTTTGTGCAACACAATAGCTACAGCCAAGAAGCAATCACTCCGGATGGAGCTTGTGCTTAGGAAACAAACATATTTCAGGACAACTCACAGTGTCAGTGTGAGGCAAGCAGTATCCACACACCAAAATGCATCTTTCCAGCATCTCTCCTCCTTCCTTTGGTCCAGTTCCTCCAGCTTTCCCATTTGGGCAGAGACTCATCCCCAGGCAGGCAAATCACCTCACACACTGCTTGCTGTAGGTGATGGATGGCTTAAAGGCAGGGCAGGAGGAAGCAAAACCTCCTCCCCCCAGCAGGCAGGATGCAGCCCCAGTCACCTGGCTTACCCCAATTTCCCCTCCCTGCAGCACCAGCATGAGGGGAATCCCCAGGGCTGCTGCAGTTGGCTGGAACGACCAGCCCTGCCAGCTGGTTTCAATTTTCTCTGTGTTAGTAAAAGGGAAAAAAAAGAAGAGAGAGAAAGGGAAAAAAAAAAAAAAAAAAAAGATCTTTTAATACTTATTCAGCATCTCACTGAAGGCTTTTTTAGCTAAACAAAACCATAACACTGATACCTCATCGGTTTGTAATGACAGCCCCACGGGGAGTTAGCGCTGCGCCCAATGCCCTGGGAGCCCCATCCCAGCTCACCAGGTCAGCGTGTGCTGGGAGCTCTGGTGTGGAGATGGCAGCCAGCTTTTGGTGTTGGGAGGCCGAATGTAAGGTGCCATGAGTTTGTGCAAAGTGCAAGATGAGCTCCAGCAGCAGGTCAGCAGCACCCACCAGCCTCAGCATCCCCACACCAGCCA